AATCGCCAAGAACAGCGGAGATTGCGAATAATGAAGTTGTCATCACTGCACCACCGGCCCGACATGCAAGCCGATAGTCTTGAGCCAAAGCCCGGATTTGTTTCGCCGAATATTTAGGGATGTTGGTAGGCGGTCGATACCTTAGGGGGAACGCAGCGTTGAGGATGTGTCGGGCGAAGGCCTGAGGACCTGGTAGGCCAGGACTCGGGCTTCGGTCCTCGTTGCTGTCGTAGCACTCACCATGTCGAGGATGATAGCCGCGGCGTGCTGCTTCTCCATTGTCGCCGTGGGCACATCTCCGAGCGTCGATGATGTTGCGTACATCACGGCCATGGCCGAGGCGTTGATGTACTGGGACGACGGAGGGCTGCCCATGGTGGTGATGTTTGGTGTACGGATCGTCCTTGGTGGGGCGCACCGAGGGCGCCAAGGCCGGGTGGGTGTCGGGTTCACGTCGTCGAGACAACGAACTTTCCACTACCGCGCTTGCTGCTTTGCTTCCGGCAGCGTCTGAATCTCCAAGGCCTGGCGATCCTCGGACGTTGCGGCCTCGGAAGGCCATGCGGCAAAGGCGGGCTGCCGCGGCGATGTTCTAGCCGGCTCGGGCAAAGTGAGGAAGGGCCCCATCGTCGGTGAGGATCCTCTCGATGTACGGTCGCGGGCCGTAGGTGCTTGCTACGCCTCGTGATTGGCGGCGTTCAATCTCGTGATTGATGTCCGCGTATTCCCGGGCGAGCCCTTTGCCCGCCTCATCGATCTCTTGCCGATGGGCCCTCAAATTGCTCCATCCTTAGGCGAGATGGGGCTATCATCTCTTCCCGGATCTGCTATCGTGGTTGTTTATAGGGTGACCTCTTCCCCGGAGGCGCTTTTCGACGTGACCTTCGGGGTCTGCGTCATGAAGCACTCCGGGAAGGTGGTGGCTCCCCTACTAGAATCCGAGCTAGAGGATTTATCCGGCTCCTCGTTGAGGAGCCCGTAAAGGGTCTCCGTATCATGTTCAATCGCCCCACGAACTTCGATGTCCGTGGGTGATCGAACCATCCGTAGCGCCAGGAGGTGGCTAGCGGTCGCCGCAAAGACGTGCGGAGGCTGAACGGAAACGCTTGTCGGGGCGCTCGTCACGGGACCTTCGGACATAGGGTGACGTTGTGCGAGACCTCCCTGGGTGACCGGACTCCCAGGGGGTTGCCCGGCGGGCCCTCAAGCCTAAGACGATCGAGGTTGATGGAAGGGAGAGATGGGGCGGCCGAGTGAGTCGGCGCCAACTCTCCTTCTAGTGTGATGATGAAATCTAGGTCACCGAAACGCATGCGTGTGCGCCGGGACCAGTGTGATTGCATGGGTGGCCATTCGAGGCTCGATTTGGAACGCATAAGCTCCCCTACCGGCGCGCTTAACCGCCGGTGTTTCGTATAAGCACCGGCAAGTAAATTTATAATGTCTGCGCGTTAGGCTCGGATGGTGCGCTAAAGGACACAAGATTTATACCGGTTCGGGCCGAAAGTCCCTACGCCCGCTTTGTTCTTTGCTCAGGTTATTAGCACCGTGAACGGTTGTAGTAAGGGGTACAAACGATCGAGAGAGGGACCGGTCCCAAGTCTCGATGGAAGGGTTGAAGGGATGTCAAGAGGTTCGACACAACTTGACTGTGTGTATCCGTGAGTCGACGCGTTTGATCTTTTTCCTCCCTTTATGGAGGAAGCGCATCCCTTTTATAGATGAAGGGCCGGCTTTACAAGGGTGAGGGCTTTAGGATCGTACTCTACTTAGTCTTGTGGCTCACGCCTACCCGGCTTGGTTCTTCATTCGGATGAGTGTGAAGGAAGATAAGCGCCTACAATATCTGCTGTCTCTCAGAGAATGTCGAGTTGAGTTACTGAGAATGCTACCACAATGTGGTATGGGCATGATCTGTTGGTTTTGACTTTTGAGCCTCCCCACCTTTTGCTCCATGCCTATACGGTTCATATGAGTTTTCGCCGAAGGGACGGGGGTCGGGTCTGGAGTAGCGCCGTACAAGGTCTTCGTCTTGGTGGACTGAGGGGTCGGGAAGCGGGCGTCGCTCCTTGGGTCCATAGCGTGGTGACGGAATATCCGTCGTTCGTGGAGATAGCAAATCCTTTTCCGGAGCGTGGCGGTTGTCGATATCTTCGTCGGGTTCCGTGTCCCAGTGAAGGCGGCGCCTACAACTCTACAGGTGGAGAGCACGCACAGTAACACCTTCGGGCTCTGCGGCGCTGGAAGGGCCTAAAGCGCCCGTCTGTCATCCCTGGCAGAGATTTTTCCTGCCAGGTGCGGTGGTATGGTTCTTGGAGCCACGGTTGACTGAAACGTCTTGTCTTGCCCCTGCTCTCTATCATCTTGAGGGAACAGGAAAAGTGGTCGAGTAAGATGAATCCAATCTTTAGATATGGAGCAGAGTGAGGCTTGTTCCTTGCCGTCCGAGCGAAGCGAGACCAATCCCTATCTCTGAAGCGAGACCGAACTCGCTCCTCCGGGAGTCCGAGGCGGCGAAATCTATCCCTCACCCTCGGGCGAGACCGAGTCCCGCCCTAAAGGCGTCAGGGCGAGACGGAGACTAGTCCTGTGCCCTCGGACGAGGCGAGCCACATCAAAGGCGTCAAGCGAGTCGGGTTTATCCTCGGCCTTCGGACGAGATCGAGCCCGTCAAAAAGCGCGTCAGGCGAGACGGAGACTAATCATCGGCCTCGGGCGAGACCGAGCCCACCTAAAGGCGTCAGGCGAGGTGGAACCAAGCTCTGTCATTCCAAAGAGGGTGAAGCAACGCCTTATGCGTCCGAAGTTTTTAACGTTCGGTGGTTATTGGTTCCACCTTCCGGGTACCCCTGTATTAGGTCTCCGACATCTACGTAAGCGAATATAAAGCGAAAACCTGATTCCACCAAAAAATTAAAATAAAATAAAATAAATTATAAAACAATAAAATACAAAAAATGAGATCACCGCCATAGTTAGCACAAAACCAAAGAAGTGATGGTAAAGAGGGCATTGCCGGTTCATGGCACGAGCCATGTTATTGGTTGAGCCATCATCGCCGCCTTGAAATCCAAACCGGCAGTGTTGCTAAAGACAACACTGTCGGTTTGAGCTACCAGCTGGCAGTGATGGCTCGACCAACACAGCCGGTTTGAGCCATGAACCGACAGTGATGGCTTGCTCAACATTACCAGCTTGAGACACAAGCCGACAGTGTAGGCTTGCTCAACACTGTCGGCTTGAGCCAAGAACCGACACTCTTGAAGCAAACATCATTGTCGGTTGGGTCTACAAACCGGCAGTGTTGTTCAACTGGACACTGCCAGGTGGAGCCAGGAACCGACATTGCTGCACGAGATCGCTGTCGGTTTTAGGAACAGCAATGATGTCAACCCCATCTACCATTGTCGGTTCAAAATCCAAAGATGAAGAGGGTTTTAATAGAGATGTTAAGATCTGGGTAGTGCCCCAGCCGGGGTCTCTTTGGCGGTGGAGAAGATGGCGATGGCGATGCCGGAAGGGGATGGGGGTAGGAGTAGGACAGCGAGCGGATCTGGCATGTTAGGGCACGGGGACAATAATGATGCCGGCGTTAGGAGCAAGGGAATAAAGATGGGAGAAAAAAATAAAATGTATGTGGCTGACAAATGAGTCTAAAAATAGGGACTGTGATTTGGGAGCTCTCGTTGCTGAGCTTAAGAAATGGAACAACAAAAAATACAAGAAGCTATGGAATCAAAAGCATGAGGCAGCCCTGATCTAGGACGAGTTGTTATAATTGACGCACACTGGGGCGTGTATGGTTTGGAGATTGGTCTGCGGGAACTCGCCACGAAGGTTGATCCGGTCGCTAGCTAGGCATTGGAAATCGACAGCCTAGGAAGCATCCTGAGCCATGCACCTTCTTTCGCCAGGTTCATAACCAAACAGACCATGCAGGAAGCCAAAGCCTCGAGTCCATCAAATGCAGCATCTGGGATTACAGTACATCCATGCACGCACGCACATCGTCTGCCTGCCTGCCGGCCTATTTGCGCCCCTGACAAGATCGATCGATGCATGATGCCATGATGCATCTATCCATGACACATGACAGACCCAGACGATGTGCGTGCGTGCATGGATGTACTGTAATCCCAGATGCTGCATTTTCAGATACTCCTACCACTGGGGATCGATGAGATGCTGCGCGCCTCTCCTTCACTAGTTCCCTGCCCTACGTACGCCCGCCAGGCGCCGTCGCCGTCGCATCCAATTATTGGCGTGCGCACGCGCACACGCCCGTCGACAGACACGCACGTACGTAATGGCAGACGCCGCACCGAAAGCTAGCCGCCTCCCTTCTCCGGTTCTCCCTCCACCTCCAGGCTTCGTACTACCAGTACATGCTGGCAGCGAGCACAGACACGCATGGTCAGATGAATGGATCCTACGCGTCCTTTTCCGTCCATCACTCTTCAGACGCTCACCGCTCCACCAGCCTGCTACTACGTACTAGTACATCGCCATGGATCGCAGTGAGCTTGATTCAGCTTCAGCCATGGATAATAATGGGTTATATACACACCCAGCTTTCCTTCACAGCAAGGTACGGCCGGCACCAGGCAGCAGCAGGCCATGCTGGGCCAGGGGCCAGGGCCGAGGGCAATGACACCGGCTGGCTGTGTGCCACTTACAACGTCGCACACGACATGCCACAACGCCTGCCGGCCGGGCCGGCCAGCCCCAGCACGGGACGGGACGGGGGCAGGCATGGCGACGACGCGTCCCGTCCTGCCCGTACCGTTACACGAGGCGACGTTGACGTTGCATTACAACATGGGATCAGAGCTACAGCGCGCGGCCGCCCGGCCTTGCTCCCGACACGAGGAATTTTCCGCAGCGTCCGATCCATCAACTAACCTGCGCACGGCACCTAGCTAGGCAGCGGCAGGGAAGGCCGGCGCGGCGGCTAGCCTGCCTGCGTGCCTTCCCTGCTGGTGTGGTGTTTGCTAGGAATTTTATGGTCCTTGGCCTACTACGGCTATCGCAGCCACAGCGACGTCGTCCACGGTGACGATCTCGTCCAGGACTGGGGGCGCCGGCGCCATCAGCATGTTGCGCGAGCTCCCCGACCGCTCCTTGGGCGCCAGGCGGGTTACCTCGACCTCCCCACCGGAATCAGCGTCGGGGTCATCGCCGGTCTTCTTCGAGAAGGGTTTCTTCCCCTCGGCGAGCCAGCCATGGACACTCTCGTGCACGCCGGAGCCTAAACCATGCAGCTTGATCTCTCCGGTCATCTGGATCATCACAAATAGCGAGCCGATGCTCAAAATACTACTCCAGCTTATATATGATCAACATTAACGAAAATAACGAGGTTGTTGCCAATAGATTGATAGTGTATATCCTTGGAGCTTACATGGGTGACGATGGCGTATAGTGGCAGCGTGATATAGCTGCAGATGACTTCGATGATCACCCTGGAAAACACCACACAATTCACTTTCAGGAGTGATGCAACGATCTGATTGTTTGCTATCGATCTATTCAGTGATCCTGTGATCACACTAATCGAGAGATGTTCTCGTGCACTAATGATCCTTGTTCTAACAAGGAGACATGTCATCGACAGGACAATGTTCTAGATTTTTCGAGCAATCCAAACTTTCACTGACCCTATAACAAGTCTGGAAATGGCATAAGGCTTCCGTTCCATCATGCACGAACTGAACCCTTCTGATACCTATGAAGTGATCATTGTTAGCTCCAAGGTCCGATTGATGGAACATTAAGTGAGCAGTAGAGGACGTGATGCGCAATACCAGAACCCAGAAGAAAAACCCAATCTCGAACGAATTCTGGAACAGGATGAAATGGATCAAATGAAGGACAAGTTCAGACTTGTGAAACCAGAAATGGTCCTTGGATGGCTTTATTTTTGGAGCTTCCTCTGTATCATTTGATAATGCTGCTGCTGCCTCTTGAGCCAACCGAGTGATAATGTGCTCTAGTTTGGCACCAACAATAAGTAAGAGCTGCAATTTACCACTTTATTTAGGGATCGCTCTCATTCATTCAAATAAATAGTGTTTGTAGTCAAACTTCTTGGATATGACAGTTAAGAGTTCAAATATGAAAGGCCGAAGGCTCTCATTCAAATAAAGTGTTTGTAGTCAAACTTCTTGGATATGTCAGTTAGAGTTCAAATATGAAAGGCAGAATATCTGAATTCAATCAACACAAAGCAGAAGGAAATGTATCATACTTACAAATAGAGGCAAGAAAGCTAACCAGAAGTATGTGTGCCATCCTGCATTTTGACAGCAAAGCAACAGAAAAGGGGTAAATAGAATCACAGCAGATAGTTAGATGTGTATGATGCTCTGCAGATGTGAAAGCAATGATAATTCTATATGTTGATAGGCACAGACCAACTAATCCACCCCACTGACCGACCAATCAATCATCAAAATTACGCAAAACTATAGGAGTTGGCATATAAATTACAGAGTGCAAATAGAAGCCATAAGAATAGCTACTGATATAGTGAATGCTTCTGCTCTATGAATTTTAAGACGTGAAGAAAATTATAGGCTAGGTAGAATTACCATTTATATTCAGCAAAAGGAAGAAGATTACAAAAAGCCACAGATACCAGCTGCATGCAGGTAACTCATGTAAGATCACTTATGTTTAAGGAAACATGGAACCTTTCTCTGAATACACCAACCTGATACCAACAACTCTTTTAAACTCATGTTCAACAGCGCGAATCATGTATTTGTGGAAATCAAAATCTGGTTTCTGGGGGTAGTGTATCTGAATGAAAAGAACAGATATATGCCCAATTAGCTTACAGATGCTCGAAAACTAATGAGCACAAATGAAACTAAAATGTATATCATACCACGACAAAAGCTGATCTAAGTGCTTCATAATCTGATTTACTCACTGAATCGTGAAATTGCTTCAAGAATGAAGTCTGCAACATGTTGAATAAAAAGTTTCTCCGTAAGTTGTACAAGAATGACACACTAATCGAAAACTGATCAACATCGATGCCCCAGAAACCCCCAAAACATAGAGCATAGTACCAAAAAACATACACGTACTGTGTGATTTGCCAAAAATGAACAAAAAAGCAAACAAAACAAAACTTGTGATCTTGAGAACACAATCTTGCAGGAAGCAGCTCATCACAATAGACTAAAAAGGAATATTACACCAGGACACTGATTGATTGTAGAAATCGGAAACATGAGCAGTTTCAAATATAACATATACTTTTTGGGCCAAGTGTTTTTCGTAGCCAAAATCATAGAAGGAAACAGTCCTGTTTCTAGTGAAAAGGCACTATGCACAAATTGTTGGTTGGAAGTCCTAATGACTTATGTGTCCATGTTCTGTTATTTCAGTGCCCGTTAATAGAAGTTCACATTTCTGTCTTCAGTAAATCTGCATGTAATGCTAATGAATAGGCACGCATTGTAGTCAAAAGCAATATCCACACTGCATGCTTTGAGATAAACACTGAGCCCTTATGTTAGCAGATAGATTCTATTTAACTAGATTGGGCAATAAGATTGGTCAAGCAGATGACTTACTATCCAGCTTACAACAGCGAGCTTCATCCAAAATCCCTTTGCCCGCTCACGGACAAATTCATCTTGGTGGTCTCGATTTAGCACAACAATACTCGATGGTGTGCCTTTTCCTTCACTCTCTGCTTGCTGTACTGCAAGCAATTTTCATCCATAGCAAAACAAAACAGTGAGCTAAGAATATAGAAGTGGTAATACTTCACCTAAAACCTGAAGACAAGAATATTTCTTTGACACAGAAATTTCTAGTAACAAGCAAGTCCAAATGAACATGACCATTTTATCAAGAGAGGGAAAAATGATTGGCAGTTAGTCACTAATGCATCAATATCAATTGATCAATAAAAAACTTGGCACTTAATTGACACCTACTCATGAAATGACACTTGTTCTAAGATATCACTTGCTCATGCAACCTGGCTCCTTTTTTGTGGATTATGAATGTAGAACATCCACCTGAAGTCCAGAACAGAACTTAACAAGAATAGGCAGTAATAAAAATCACATAATCATTGCAGGATTTGAAGAAAGGACATGAAGATAAAGAGAGATAAAAATGAACAATTCGTATAAGGAACACATGGAAATGCCTGGATGAATTCTGAATGGTGAAGTTAAGGGACCCCACTGCTAAGAGGTGAAAATGCCGTTTTTCAGAAGAAAAAAGTTTAAGAATGCAATGTGAGAGCCCAATTAGGTGCACAGTAGAGCATTTAAATTTGTTTGATACAGCGCTTTAATGTGGTTTTAAGCAAACCGGGGACCATAATCCAAAACTAAACTAATAAAGAGTCATAGATCACAGGTATTGCAGCAGACTGCAGGCATACAGCCCATCTCTGTTGGGCATGAGGAAACATCAAATCTCTGAGCACACAGTAATGACGAACTGGATGTCATGATGTTAGTGTTCTAAAGAAAGTTCAGAGTACGAAAAGAAAGCATGTGCGGTTACAGGCATAACTTAACTTTCCAATCCAACACTGAAAAGTTGGTAACAAATTAATTCAATTTGGTGCATGTAATTTCAGATAAATTGAGAGGTGTTTGGCGACATGGATATCAGAACTGTGGTGGAGCTTGAACAAAGCAACAGGGGGGCAACCTAAGTGATTGAGCTCTAGATTTCAATAAGCAACCTCTGGATCAGAGAAATATAGGCCTGCAAGCCCATTAGCAGGGGCAGCAGGGCGACCGCACAGGACCCAATTTAGGGTCACTGAATGTTGATTAATTAAACACTAAGTGTGTTTAATTAGTGGCGTGATTAGCACCACGGCCTAGAAGTACAAGGCTAGCTAGAACTAAAAGCAAAAGGCTCGGCAGCCAATACGTATTAAAGGTTCATCCTTATTTTATTATCTTGCTATAAATCTAGAATTCATATATTGTTCCAAATTTTCAATCATTAGTTACTTGGTTTTGTTTAAATCATTGTTACATAATTCATGTATATGTTCTTGCTATTTATTGAGGACAGAGGTTTGTATAATAAATTAATAACACAATAAAAATATGCTTTGGTTATATGAATTTTCCAATTTTAGGGCCCACATTTTGCATTTCGTGCCAGGGCCCCAAATTCCTGAAGATGGCATGTATATTCATATGTATCTTCAATGCCGCAAAGCTAGCAGGAAAGAGCCAATTTTTGTGCTCGCATTATGTATTCAAGGAAATTATCTTAAAACATATATTATACTGTAGTTTTGTGAAACAAAATGTAGGGAACCTGCAAGGTATCTTTTTAATAGTAAATAAAGAAAACGAGAAGATAGGTGAATAGTGTACATTTCTCCTGTACTTCTCCGTGAATTTCTGTTTCCCAATGCTTCCACTTTCTCATCTACCAAATTTTAGCCACTGTAAGTTTATTTCCTACAAACATTATCATAGAAACACAAAGCTACATTCACAGATATACCTTGGCCCCACCAAATAATATTGTTGCAGCACAGAACACAACATGGACTAAACCAAGTACAAATATGAAAATGTGCAGCTGATGTAATGCCTCCAGTGATAGCAAGGGAACATCACCCTGAAACAGAGCAAGACTATTGCTTTCATCATGTTCATTCTTGAAAACATTTTTGCACAACACTACTTTACATTGTTTGAAATGATAGAAAACCTTATTATCTAACATGATAGAGTCATTCGATATATGAAAATATGATAATACCCTAACCTTTTTCTTGCAAATTTTGGCACGTTCTTCTGCAACTCTGTGGTCGTCTCTCTTGCATGGAAGCATGAAGCCAGTAGAAGTTTCTGGAATGCAAATGCTAACAATAAAACCTTGGGAGAGACTCAGGACGAAAGAAATGAATCCGAGAAGCATTAGCTCTGCAAGCATAACCATAGAACCACATTAGACAAAAAAAAAAAAAAATTATGTGCAAAGTCACAAATTGAAGAGATTGCACCACGTCCTTCGTCATGAAAAGGTTTCCAACCACTTGCATTGTTTCCTTCAGCTATGCTGTGTTTTTTTCTTTATTATACCCTTTGTTAATGAAATCACACGCAGTTCTCCTACGTAGTTCGAGAAATCTAATCAACTAACAATATCTCCATGCTATACCGGGCAATGCTTTTATTTAGTGCTTTTCAGTTGACAAGGCACAAAGATGATCCAGTGATGGATCTATGGATATTGATAAGTTCCCAAGAATGCTACCTTCTTTTAGTCTCTGTAGAGCTGAAAACAGTGCTTTCTGCTTCTTATGCTTCAGATACTGCACAAATAAAGGTGGAAAAAAGCAGGAGGTAATCAAATAAAATACGTTGAATATTCAAATTACTGTTGAAACGTGATTGATATACTGTGTGCCTTTTTAAAATGTGCAGAGCTCAAAGTTGATCAAGCTATCTTGCCATTTCAATGGAGTTTTTTTTTAAAAAAAGGGCACACCCAGTGCCGGAGGCTCCCACATGAGTGGGGTCTGGGGAAGGGAAAAACCGAGGCAAGTCTTCCCCCCGCAAATCTACGGAGAGGCTGCTTCGAACCCACGACCTGGTGACTCAGTGAGACAGCTCTCACCACTGCACCAGGCCTGCCCTTCTATAATGGAGTTTTCTTGAATAAAAAACAATATAACTTGAGTCCTTCAACGCGAAACAGCAGCCAGCTATGGGGTCATTGACATAAATTCCCATCAAATCAGGAATAATTTACTAAACAAAAAAGGAAACTGGGTGAAGCTTAGGAAGATAAACAGAATCAGATGCTAATAAAATTGCCTTGCTGAAAGGAAAAATGGCATGATGGGTGAATGGATAAATTTAAATTTCTACTTCATAATTCACCCCCACAGATACTATAGAATATGAGCCATGAGTTGTAGCCTATCATGCTAGTTATCTAGTCCCAATTCCGACATGTAGGTTGTTTCGATTTTGTACTAAGGCAAACTTCACATTTTGATCAAGTTTATAGAAAAATATATTATCATCTACAGTACCAAATAAATGCAATATCAAGACCTATTTCATGGTGGATTTAATGAGACTAATTTGATCTTGTAGCCTTGTAGGTATCGGTGCAATTTTTCTATAAACTTGGTAAAAATTTAAAAAAAAGTTTGACTTAGGACAAAACTAAAATAACCCACAATTTGGAATGGAAGGAGTAGGTTCCAAACTCCAGTTTACCTTTAGAAAGAGGGGGAAACTTCAGGTGTAAAGCAGACGCACAGGTTAGGCAGAATCCCACATTCTCCCCAATTTCAATAACCTCTAAAGCATGTCAAAGCTAAGATGAGAGTACTAACTCAATGCAACGCCCATGGCATCATAAGTTCACCAACTTAGCTAGCTAACTGGAGGCCAGACATGGCCAGCGCGAGCTTGTGAATCGATGGCAGAAAGGAGCACGTCGCCCTGATTCCCATCAAGTGAAATCCAAAACTCTTGGTATTCTATTCTATCAGTACATTCGCCGGGTTTTCGGAACCAGATCCAGCTGTCAGCGCAGAAACGCCGCATCCGTATCGATAGACCGCGTACCTTGCCGAGGCAGTGGAGGAAGCGCTCGGCGGCGAGGGAGATGGAGAGGATGACGAGGCATACGATGGCCACCACCCAGGTGGGCGTGAACGCGAGCTTCGCCTCCTCCCCCATGGCTCCTCTTCCAACTGCGGCTGCTTCTGATGCTGCCAGCGCGCCCTGACTCCCGCTCGCGGCAGCCCAACCATTGGTCGGCTAGCGAAGACAAAGCCGCGCGGTTAAAGCGGCGGGCGCACGCACGCGACTGCCGAGCGGCCGCGGCGGCAAGGAAGGAATCGGCGTGCCCGCCGCGCCTCGCTCTCGGTTGCCTCCCGCGCGCGGCCACCCGTCAGATTCCATCCCGCGCTCGCGCAGTGGGCATGGGCCTACGGGGGTAGGGGGGCAGTAGGCGGAGTTGTTTTGCTTCGGCCACCGGCCTCCTCCCCTGATGGCGCCAGGTGCCATGGCAACGGCTACCTCCCCGTGCTGGCGGCGCGTGAGGCATCAGGATTCAGGAGGTCTGGAGGAGGTGGCTTCTCGCTGCGTCGGCAGGCCCAAGCGAGATTGGAGGGCGGTCATTTGGGGCCTGTTTGATTTGTGGCCCTGCCCAGCACGGCTGTCCGCCCTGGCCCTGACCAGCTAGAGCACGGCTTCTATGGTACAACGTCTATGTTTGATTTACTTGGTCCAGACAAGTCTGATTTCTAGCCCAAATAGCTATGGCTACTGTGCACTAGAAATTCGGTAGCCTTACCACCAGACTTTCACATTTCTCTCTTCATTCACATTACATCGAGCACCTGAGAGGCGTGCCGAGTGTCGCCATTGACGGCGCATGCAGTCGGGCTTCCCCGCCACTCGTTCCTTCCCCTCCGCCTCAAGGCTCGCCTGGAGGCATCACCGCGTCTACCTAGTTGCTCCTCGCCCTGGTTACCGCACCACAGCGCCGTCATCCGTCGCCGCCGCCACCATTAGCGACCTTCAGCTCGAGCTCCCTATCTCCCCGTTTGAGCCACCTCGTGCCCTCGTTTCTCTTTCTCCGGCATCGCAGCCACATCACGACCCTGCCAACCCCTCTGCGGGCGCGGCGAAAGTTGGCTAGGGCGTCTCTGTAGGCGCAAGTGGGGGGGGGGGCGTCGACGCGTGTGCGGAGCACGGCGAGTTCCTTGACGAAGGTAGTCACGGCTCGTCTCTAGGAGGAGTTGAAGGCGATGCCGTGGTTGGGCGAGGTCACCCACGCCGGCGCGGCGGCCGCGGCGCGGGAGCTGACCGACGGCAGAGCACCACCGGAGGCGAGCGGCTTGGCGTGGTCGTCAAGCAGGGACGCGGCGGCGGCGGCCCCTGTCCTCGTCGTCACCACCTCGATCTCCCTCTTCACTGCCTTACAGGCGGCGACACGGTGAGTCGGACTCACAGAGAAGAAGGTGCGCTGGCCGGTGGGTGAGAGACGAAGGAGAAGGAGGTGACTCCATCTCGCCCACAAGCACCCACGCGCGCTGCAGCCAACCGGGCCGAGTAGAAACGGACCTCAGGAGCGTTTACTCGGGTACAAGAGAGAGAGAGGGTGATTTGCACGCCACGAGCTGGGCCGGAAGCTGGGCCAAGTGAATCAAACAAGGCCTGTTGCAACTGGAGGGCGCTGGGCCACCCCAAAGCCCCATATCAAATGGGCCCTTGGAGGCTTCATGGCACAGGCGTGGTCTGCGCGTCGGGTGGATAAAATGGGCTTTCTGGTTGGAATTCGCTCGTGAGGCCCGTTGTCGTGATGTTTTTTTTCTTCATACAATAGCAAACATACTCGTTCCTCTCGAAAGAAAAAACAAACATACTTGTACTTCTACATTGTAACAGAGTGTTCAGCTTGTTACGTGGTTACTGGCTCCACCTCTACCAGGCGCAGGGCTTATCATCTTCCTCTTTGTCCTTGAAGGTGTCGTAGATATCCGATATGTTGTTGATGGTGATCCCCTCCGGCTTGGGCAGCCGTTGTAGTTTCTGTTTAGGGATGCAGGTTCTAATTATTTTTGGTCATTGGGTCAACCCAAAAACTTGTTCAAATAAACCAGAATTTTATTGCACATAATTTGAGCTGGGAGAGAAGTGAACTAAAATGGCATTTGACTGTAATTAGTTAGCTAAAAAAAGGTATCTATACTTGCATCATTATTGTTGCTCTCTCTGATGGGAAGGTTGAACCGTCAACTTTGTACCACCTCTTGTTAACATTGAAGCTGGTTGCGATGAAGCCTCCCCTCATCCTTGCCCTCATGATACCGGTGACACGAAGCGCCTCCTTGGCCTTCTGCTCCTTTTCCTATGCTCAAGCTTCCTTAGCTCCACACGAGAAGTTCCATAAATGATGCTAAGAGAAGGCAAAGGTGGGAAATAGAGCTGAAAAATGTGGTTCACCCTACTTCATCTTCAAACTTGCGGGCCCAGGGAGAATTTTCCCCCACAGTGGGCGGAGGGAGAGGCGCCCAAGCCGGCGTTGGCGAAGGTAGATTCTAGGCGCGGTGGCAATGACGACCCTCTCCCTGACGATTTCCTCCACCTCGCTGACGTGGACAACAGCTTCCAGGAGGCTGCAGTGGTGTTGAAGTAGGACATGGTCAAGGCCCTAGCTACCATCCGTCGTTGTGATGGTGCGCGCCTAGCCTCTGAACTTAGGTCGCAGCGCAAGGTCGGCAAGGATCTTGCCCGCCTAGTAGACAACGCTAGCATGGACATCGTAACCACCGACATGCCCTCACACCTCGGCCTTGGCGGAGCTAGCGGCGCGGTGATGGTCAAGGTGGTCGGACTGATGGCTTCATCAGCACGTGGGATGGACGCAAGCTGACACAACCCTTCTGTTGGGGATGATGTTTGTCATGCAGTGGAGGAGCGTGAGGATAAGGTGGAGAGAGAAGAGAGAGAAATAATAGAGGAAGAAAATAAAGGTAGAAAAGAAAAAAAAATGAAGAAAAAAAGAAAGGTATTTTTGACATTTCATTCTTTTCATGACTATGAAAAGTTATTGTACCAAATATTTTTCTAACTAGAGAAGTTAGAGTCAGAAAGAGCTATTTTACCAGAAAAACAATAGTTAGAGTTGTTTTGACTAAAGTTGGAGCCCTATGAAACACGCCCTAAGCCTAAGCAAACCCACTATGACCCACTTAGGAATATAAGTCAACCCACTATGACCCATTGTACCACTTAGGAATGTTTCTGCTAGCTTGTTTTATATGTAATTCTCATGTTTTGTATTCCTATTCCAAACTATATTGAAGTAAAATTGATCTAGAATATAGCTATGCTTTACTATCCAAGTTATGAATGGACAAAATTAAGTAATGCTTATGTCTATTGAAACAATTATCACATATTTCTATGCATCTAGCTAAATATATAATCTAGAAGAACTAGCTCTAAGAATATTATTTTTGGCATACGCTCAAATCCTAACTCAGTCCCTATATATATTTCTCAGCCTTAGAGACACACATGAGAACAAAACATATATACTCCCTTTATTCTAAAAAGAATGCATATCGTGTTTTTCAATGAATCAAATTTTGTATGTCTGATTAGATTTATAGAAAATAGTATTAATACTCTTCAAATATGTTTATTATGAAAACATATTTCACTACTAGCACAATGCTACTTATTACACATAATAAATATTAATATTTTTATATACTCTCTCTGTTCCAAATTATAAAATGTTTTGACTTTTCTAGATACAAGCGTCCGCTATGTACTTAGATATACATTATGTTTGGATACATAGTAAAAGCAATTGTTGACGTTGAATAGGGATCTAGATCACACGCCAGCAAGGGCAAGCACGTCCACGGTTGCAAACAAACTTGATCGCAGCAAGAATGTAGTAGAATGGTGAAACCAACCAAGAGGTCGATTGGGCCGATGTAGAGTCCGTTCTTCGCCTGATAGACTCCCGAACACCTCTCTAGAAGACCCGTTGGGGAGAAGCACGTAGAGGTTGCTCTAGGATCGGCAAGGCCACCTAGAATGCCGCCAAATCCCACCAGGAGACGTGTCGAACAGCAAGGTATAGAGAGAGGAGAGGGTAAAAGGTGTAGTAGATTTATTTTTTGACAACTGGAAGTTGGGATCCTCAATCGGCCATGATCCTCTCTTATATATAAAGAGGGGTGGTCTTATCCCAGTAGGAAAAAAAGTACAAAACACATTCTGCAAGTTTCCCACTTCAAAATAGATCCAAAAACCGATTTAAAAACAAATCGGTTCAGAATCAATAGAAAAGTTGGTCTAGCTGACTAGGCCGGGTTTCATGGGGCCAGGCGCTGTGGTCGGCCCGACAACAGGCAAGCTGGCTTGGCTAGCTTTGGGCACCCGGCTTGGCCGGCTTTGGTGGCCGGCCTGGCAGGCTTTAGGCAGGGCAGCCGTCTTCTTCTTCCTTTTGCTCTGTGCTTTGGATTGGGTTGCACCAAATATTTCCAGCACACCCTCCAGATCAGGAACTTGATGGTGCAACCCAATTTCCATGCTGGGATATTTTTGCGTGTCAACATATGTCCTCTATTTTTAGGTGAATATTATATAAACATAAAAACATAAAAGTACTAAATAGCAACGATGCTCAACCCATTGGCTATCTATACATCAGCCATATTTGTTCTAAGGGCGATACATGTATCGGCCATTGTTTGGAGAGCACTCTAGGCTTCTTACCAAACACTTGGGAAATATTTTTTTCAAATATCTCCCATTGATTATTTCTCTTGGGAGACTATTGCCTTGCAACATCTCTAGCAGATATGAATCCCAAATATCACTTTGGTCACTCTATAAGGACCTTCCTAACTTCCATTGGTGACTATTGATGGGAATTTTGTCATGGTTTTATATAGTCAAAAACCGTCAACAAAGTATCACCATTGAAAGGAGATAAGCCAACCATGAATGATTTTGGTTCAAATAACTTGGTTCCACACGTATATGACCTCGGTTTGAATGTAGGTACAAATTGAAAGAAAAACCAAGTCTGGGGGGCCACCTTGGATGGTTGGCTGACCACCCAAGTATGTCCAATTGATCATCCCAATATATCAACATAATGTACTATGCTTCTAGAACCTGTGTGTAAATGATGGGCCTGATTGACC